ATGTCCTACAGGTGCATGTGGGCACACACACACAACCCTACATACACAAACACACACACACACACACACACAATCCCCCCACAGTCATAACACACACACAATCCCCCACACAATCATACAAGTCCCCAGGGATGGAGCCACCTGTCCCGCTGACCTGGCATGAGGGTTCTGAGGACCTGCCCAGGACCAAGGTGAGCCCAGAGCACCGAGCACCACCACGCCCACCCCAACCATTACCTTCCATGATGGTCACTGGGTCTTCTATCTGTGGCCGAAGTATATTAGGTCCAAAAATGGTTGCCAGGTTCTGGACACTCATCTTGTTGACATCTTGAGTGGGACTGAACATCCAGAAACCTTCAAAGTTAGGAAGAGACAGCTGGCAGAGAAGCAAGTCCTGATGCCAGATCTCCTGAAAGCTGCCGGGCCCCCACGCTCAGCTGCACCCACATGTTTTCATGGCTGCCGGGCACAGCCAGCTGCCCCTGCCAGGCTTGGAAGGCCCAGAGCTTCCCCTGGGGTCTGAGCGGGCCATCAGAAGCAAAGGCCACTGGGACAAGGGCCCGTCGTTGGCATGGAGGGACACAACTCTCCCACTGCAGTGGGGACAGATGCCTAGGAAGATCCAACCCCCTCCCCGAGACACGGGGCTGGCGGGAGACCACCCTGGAGGTCCTCTCCCAGCACCTGAGCCCAGGTTGTGGTCAGGAGGCAGACTCAGAGGAGGCAGAAGGAACAGGCTATCCTGCTCCCAAGGGGCCTGTGAGCCTCAGGAGTGTGGGGTGTGTCCTTTTTATATTTCCTGTTGGCTTGACACTCAGGGAGAAGTTCGGGTGAGAGCAGAGCCAGGCCCCCCAACCCCCATGGAGGGCATGGAGCCGGAGCACGGCGGACGGGAGTCCCCACCCCGGTCACTTACTTGCAGATGTATCTGAGCAGGTTGTAGTTGACCAGGGGAAGGCTGCTCACTTGTTTAGCCAATTCCAGAGTCCCCTTGAGAAAAAGAGTATTTCAAAGACCAGCAGTGTGGCCCCAGCTCTTCTCTTACTGGAGGGAGGGGTTGGTGAGGGGGAGTTGGGAATCAGAGTCCAGACCTCCATCCATTCTCCACCCCAGTTGACCAGGAGATGTCACCACTCCCGTCTCCCTTCGAGAAGCAGTCAGGCCAGGCTTGTGAGGATCCAGGCCTGTCCCCCAACCAGAGCAAGCCACTCCAGGGCTGCACCATGAACCTTAGACACACACAGAGCAGGTTGCAGGCCAGGATCTGTGCCAGGAAGTCATGAAAAGTCCTGACTCCACATTCTCCCCCACTAACTAGCAGGCCCCCCTCAGCTCCCCACAAGATGGGTCCCCATGAGACACTAACCTCCCCCTTGTCCTTGGTGAGCAGCTGGGTGCAGCTGAGGAAGTCCTCGTACCTGGCGAAGGGGACCATGGGCTCAGGGAGCTCCCGCAGGCAGAGCTTCAGCAGGGAGGCCACCGTGTGCACCTCTGTGGTGCTGCAGGCAGGGGGCCATGTGTGAGGCCGGGGCACCAGGGAACTGCAGGAGTGACCAGCACCTCGCACCACTCGCCTCAGGGGCAACCTCTGCTAGCACGTCCGTGTAAGCACGTGTGTGAGCACACACGCATGTGCACTGTGACAGCTGGCTAGGGAACCGGTGGGAGTGAAGGGCCCCCTTCCACTGGCCTGATGCCCACCCCCGCCACTGCCTTCTCCCAGACTCCTCTTCTACCGACACCTTCACCTCCTGGGTGCTTATGGCCCCAGTGGGTGCCCAGCCTTAAGCCCAGTGTCCCTTCCCTGACCTGGGGCGTTCACGAGTTCACTGCCAGCCACTCTGTAAGCCGGAGCCCAGGAGGTAAGGACAGGAGGCAAGGAGGATCAGCGGTCTTGCCTTTGGACAAGGGCCAGCCATCCTACCTCCCCCGGGGCATAGGAAGGGGACGCATTTCTGATCTGGGCCAAGTAGACGCAGAGTGGCCTCCACTCTACAGACCTCGCTGGCGGCATCCATGCCCATAGCCCCTTCCCGGCTCCTCCTGGCTGCTGGTGGGTCACAGCGCTCCTGGGCCCGGGAGGCCCGGCCCAGCCAGTGGGGCAGCCCCAGCTCAGGGCGCCCTGCCCCACCCCAGGCCAGGGAGCCCCTCCCTGCCCTGATGGCCTCACCTTCCTTCCTCCATCCCTAGAAATGCACTTCCTCTCCGCCCTCCCCACAGTTGGCGCAACGCTATTTCTTGGTACTTTTTTCTTAAACTCCCCTCCAACCCTCCGTTCCTGAATCCAGCCCTCACCCCCAGCACTCAAGGAGAATGTTCCACAGCCCACAGCACCACAGGCGCACACCAGCCTGGGAGCCCTTCCAGGGCAGGTGCTGTCACCCGTCCCGATTCTGCACCCAGTGCATCCAGAACACAGCCACGGTCTCCTGCCTGTCCCCTGTACACCTCACTCCCCTACGATCCACTCTCCACGTGGCGGCCCGGCCCCTATTTCTCACCCCAGCCCCTCTGCTGGCCTCCAGGCACCAACCATTACCTCCCTGGGGGCCAGGCTGCCTGCTGCTCCCGTCTGCTCTGGGAGCCAGGAGCGTGCCCTGCTCTGTGCTGTGGGCCAGGCGGAGGGGGCCCCCGGCTGGGTGATGGGAGCGCAGGCTGGTTCCCTGTGTGCATGACTTGTCATCTGTCCCAGCCACATGAGGGCGGGACCTCGTCTACTGTCTGTCTCGTTCACGGCAGCCTCCCATGCTCTCAACGGATGGATGCTGAGTGTCATAAGGCGGGTGTGAGAGTCACTGGGGCCACCAGGGCTGGGCACAGGGGAGACCCTCCTCCGCGCTCAGCAACAACGTGGTCAGGGCTGCGAGAGCTGCTGTGGACCAGGGACCAGGCAGGGACAGGTGTGGCTGCAGCTTCCAAGCCCAGTGGGGCTCTTTAGGGAAAGCGGGCCAGGACCGGAGGCCAGAGTTCATCCTGGTGCCGAGTGTGGTCTACACCCAGGGAGTGAGCCTGGACTACCTCTGCCAGAGTGTGGGCCCCGGGACCCTTCTGTCAGGGAGCGAGGAAGACGAGCCTTGGGACCTCTGTGTAGGGGGTGGGCACAAGTGCAGGGCCGAGGAGCTGCCGAGGAGATGCCAGGAAGTGGGAGAGAACGGTGTCGCATACCCCAGGGAGAAGTTTCCAGAAGGGAGAGGCACCCAGAGAGGCCAGGGCAGCCGTGGCAGTGCAGGGAACACTGAGATGGGCCCTGAAAGGGCAGGTGGAGGAGCCCAGACATTCAGGGGGCGGAGGGCAGGCAAGGGTGGATGACGGAGAAGAGGCCCCACCAGGAGGGAGTAACAGGATGGTTCTGGAAGGGTGAGCAGGGACTCAGAGAGAGGGACTTTTTTTGGAGGGGGGATGTAAGTGGAGGGCAAGGGGCTCTGGGAAAGAGGCCAGAATCTGGCTGGGCAGAGGCCACATCTGGGCATCTGGGGCAAGTTCCATGGGTTCAGCCTCGGGTCCTAACCCACAAAACGGACACATGACCATTTAAGAGAAGTCTGTAAGCACACTGAGGGCAGGGCCTACTGTGGGGTGCTCCAGATGGGAGCAGGGGGTCAGGGCACCAGCAGAGGGCAGGGGGAAAGAGAGGCTGAAGAGAGGCTGAGGCTTAGGGGGGCAGAGAGGGGCCTGCCTTGCCCCCTCTCATCCCACTCACCCCAGCTCCGGTGAGGGGCTCCCCATTGACCACTGACCCCTAAATCTGGTTGCTAAGCAGAATCACTGGGGGCTTTTAAACATGCAAATTCCCACTCCCCCTGCCGCTCCCCCACCCCGAGTCTGATTCCACAGGAGCGGAGAGGGCAGGGCCTGGAATCTGGGCTTTCAGAAGCTCCCAGGGATCCAGACATACTGT